TTTGTGTTAATATTTGTGGCAACTACTTTTTCTGCAGTAAATAGTGTCATAAACTCAAAAAAAAAATTTGTATTTGAGACAACTGTTTTTCTTGCCTCAAATAATATTTTATAAATTTTAAAAAAATNCAAATAATATTTTATAAATTTTTAAAAAAATTTATATTTATGGTAACTATTTTTCCTATTGTATATAATATTTCATAAAACATTAAATTATTGTTTTAGATTAAAAAATAGTTTATAGTTTAAAGAAGAAAAACTCTAAAAAAAATTTGTATTGATCACAACTATTTTTCAAGTTGCAAGTAATATTTTATAAAATTACGTAGTTTAACATCAAAAGACAATTTTTAGTTCAAAGAAAAAAAATTAAACTCTACAAAGTCAAGTTTTTATATCAAAACTAGGGGTATCAAAATATGACACGACCCGTTAACACAACATAAAATTTGTGGGTTTGAGTCTTTCTTAAGTCACCTGTTTAGTAAACGAGTAGACCCGTCACGATACGGTTATAAACGAATCAGATATTGGTGAAACCAATTAGAAGAAATGTATACAATATGACTCGCTTATATACCATTTACATAATTAAACAAGCCGTTCAGAGAAATATTGCGTGACCCTCTATTGATGTATATTCTAACTTCTTTTAGTTCTTTGCTGTATATAGGTATATAAATATTATTTCAGTATAGTAACAATAATTTTATTATTTTTTCAGCTGTCATTGAGAGAGTAGATGATTCGGGAAGGATGTTCAACTTTTTGTATTAATTTATTGTACTCATATATCGTTATGCTTTATAAAAGTGCATATTTTATATTTTTTTTTAACTCGTGAGATTTTTTTTTTTTTTGATATGAAAATATTGCTATGTTTTTTGGAAATGTTGATTATATTTACTTTTGTGTTTATTTATATATAAAATTGGATAATTGTATAGATAGCAACGAGTTTTTGGTCTAATAATATTTCTTACATTGTGCAAGCTTTGTCTTCTTGAGGTCAAGGGTTCAAGTCCCATTTCCCCTCCCAAAAAAAAAAAAAAAAAAGATGTACGGAGTATATATAACATTGGTTACTAACGGTCCATAATAATTAAAAAAAAATTATTTTTTTTTTGTGGTGGCATCGTTGCCTTCATAAATATATCTTCTATTTTTTACGACAACTAAATATGGTATTTGAGACAACACTTTTGGCCGCCGTGAGAAAAGCAAAAGTGTCAGATTTTTTGTGACAACTTATTTACGATAGTGTCTTACTGTCATAAATATTATTTGAGACAAACCGTTGTTGCCATAAAATTTTTTGACATCACACTTATTATGACGAGACAATGTCGCCACACAAAATATTTGTGACGGCAAATAAACATTTTATGACAGCACTTTACTGCCGTAAAACTTATTTTTTTTTGTAGTGATATTATTTGTCNTCAAATATATAGTTTTATATAATTTAATTCAAAATAGTTCATCTCCGTTTTGAATTTGTTACCATATACACAAAACTACTGAACGTTGTTTTTGTTATAGTGTATTTGTTACACTGTTATTATTATATTGTTATTGTTATATTAATACATTATTCGGATATTAAATTAATTTGAAAATAAAACTATTTTTCAAAAAAAAAAAACGCTTGAATCAAGGTGCATTAAATATAATTTGAAAATAAAATCACTTTTAAAAACAAAATACGCATGAATTAAGGTGCATTAAAGATAATTCAAAATTTAAATAGGAAATTTAAAAATAAATATATATATATATTTATTTATTTATATGTATTAACAAACACATATGAATCAAGGTGCATTAAATATGTATTTATATGTATTAATAAATACACATTAGTCAAGATGTATTAAAGATAAGAAATTTTGAATTAAATGACTCTAAAATGAACATTTATATCTTTTTAACTCACATTTTTGTTCTATTTACTTTTTGTCAAATAAGTCTAATAAGGTGTACCAGCTTCCAAAAAATCCTTGTTTTTATTTTGATGGCAGCCCATGGAGTAAAAAGGCTGAAGTTGATGCAGTTGTTAAGTGGGCCTAACACTCATAATTTTTATTGAACTTTATCTATTTTAAATTATACAAGATTTGGGCTTTAGGTCTGAAGTAAAAAAGTTAGAATTAAGAGGGGCTGAAGTAGAAAGATTGGAGTAAAGAGGAGAGGAAAATATATTTTCTTAAAAGGATATTCACTTTTAACCTGTATGTTTGCTTTAGAGGAGGCGGCTGTTTTTTCTTCTTTTCTTGTGCTGAGCGGCTGCTGAACGAACATAAAGGAGACGAAATACAGGGAGAAGGACGCCGATGGTTGCCTATTTATTTTATTCCTTGGGATATTTTTGTTGTCTATTTTATTTAGGAATAACTAAATTCTCAGGTAGAGCGAGGGATGAACTTGTACAGTATATGATATTTTATTTATTTTTAATTTATATATTTGAATTTTAATTAATAAAACTATTTTGTTTTATCATTTTTAATTTATTATTGATATTATCTCTGAATAATCATAAAATTTATTTTGTTTATAGATTATGTGTTTTTTTATTGAATGAATTAATTATTTGATTTTATTTGGATCAATTATTTATCTATATTGATTTAATTTTTTGCTGCAATATTGTTTCTTGAGTATATTGTCGTCGTTGAATTTTCTCAATAGTAATGATAATTTACGTATTTTAAAAGTGATAAATGATTTTTCAAAGGGTTACATTTGGTTTAATGTTGATTTATAAATTTATACCTTCTAATTGGGAATTTTGGGAATTGAGTTTCTAGTTGAGTTATTCAATGAATTAAAAATAATTAAAACACCAGATTTGTGTAAGGGATTTCCGACGCTTTACTATTTGTTAAATTTGAATACTTTTTCTGTTAGTCACTTTATTTCACTTTAACTTACATTTAAAATTAATCTTTGTTTTCTAATAATCATTTAATATTTTTTTTAATTCTTTTTGTTCCTTCTACTATTCTTTTAGTTTGTCTCTTTGTGGAATCGACATCCAAAAACTATGCTATAACTACCGCGGTATTTTTTAGGCGTAATCAAATATCAAGCGTCTGCCTCTCAGGATACAATAATATTCACACGAATAGAAGTAGCATTTTAATCTACTCGTCTAACAAACCAGAAATTGTGTTGTGTACTCTTAAAATGTAGACTGCCTTAATGATGTATGAGATTGCCTTAAATGATTAAAAATGTATTAAATTAATTGGATAAAAAATAATTGTGTGATTGGATTATTTATAGAGAGAACGGTGACTGATCCAGACAGTCACCATATAAACGAATGCAACCCAGCAGACACATGCAGCCAGAGGACACCACTTATGTAATTGTTCTCTATGAACATACACAACTTAGATTTCAGATTGAAGTGAAACAAAAAATTCGGATTAATTAATGAATACCGAAAATTAAATTCCAGATAAAGAAATTCATGCCCAATTAATTAATCGAATTTTCTCCAAAAAGATATGTCACACTGTAGCTTGTTCGGGTCATGGCAGGCGACACGCATGTGTGGTAGGATTGAAGGCACGTAGGCGCTCGTTTCTCTCATAAAATTGTAGTATCCCTTGGGACCCAATCCCATAGAACAAATTTAGCATATATATGACCATGTAAAACTTCTTCCTTAACTAATATAGGATTGATGTCAAATTTCATATTACACAACTTTTATTTCCATATTTCAAAAGAGTCACTTCGAAACCTATTTTCTCGTTCATTCCTTACTCGATTTGAGCAAGTAAATATACTAAACTATTCTGCTCTCGGAGCATAATACGAACCCATAAAAGTTTATTTGAAATAACGAACGGGTCTCACTTTAATTTAAGCTCAAAGTCGATAAAAATTCAAACTGAATTTTGTTTAAAATCCACAGCAGGTAATTCAAAGCTCAAAAACAGGTAATTGATTCAATGAGACCTCCAGGTTGCTTATTGTGCTCAAAAACAGGTAATTGTAGACCCTCAATTAAAGAGCATGGAAAAGGTATGTGTTATGAGTGGTGTTGATGAAGTACAGCAGATGTTGAGTTGTGTATTCCATTTTCTGCAATGGTATTTTAACTTGATCAACACTAGGCATCTGAAAGAGTTTATTGATATTTGTTCATTTTAAAACCATTAGGTTTTTCACTTGCTGAACTACGTCTTCAAATGTTTTGTGCGTATACAGTAACTGTTATTGCTAAATTACAGAGAACATGTGTACAGTCAATTAGCAAGTTATTACTGACACCGTAATATTTTCTTGCATGGAAATCTATAAATGAACAGATACGTAGAATGCCTTTTGCTTATTTTCGTAGGATATGGACAACATCCCTAGAACGCCTTATTTAGCATATCGAATCCAAGCTATTCCGCTTGGGCCATTTACTGTATCTAGATAGATTATTTAGTTCGTTTAATATTTTCAAGAGAATATCTATGTTCTACCTGCCACCAGAGTCCGACAAGTATAACGCCTGTGGACATTTGCTTAAACACCGGGAGATTCCCGACGGTATAAAAGTAAGGAAACAAAATTCCAATACCTCATAGCTTCAAAGGCCATATCAGGGTAACTAATATCACCACATATGGGTAAGGAAGACCTGCAGAGTGTCTCGCAGAAGTGCTTTTTGACAAGCATTTGCCGCAACAAGTCGTGTGAACTAAAACCCTATTAATAGATACGAACATATTCCAACCAATTCCCAAAAAATATAAATTTGTAAGTCATAAAACGAAGATTTCCATTAAAGTGGAAAAAGCTATTAGCCAGTGCTGCAGCAAAATGCAAATTTACAAAGGGAATTCAAAATTTTGCAGTCTCTAATAGTGGACGATAGTGCAAAAAATGGAAACATAAATGCATTTGCTATCAAACCACAGTCCCACAGAATGTTGGCAAAGATGAGAAGAAAAAATCAGTTGTATTGAACTTTGTTGCAGAAGCTGAAGAAGATCACGCATCACGGCTGTCGGGCAGCCTCATTTGAGCCAGTTCAGAGGGTGGACGCAAAGTGCAAACCATTTCCTTTGTCTTCCCAAAATAAACCTGCCATATTAACTGAATCACCTCAAGTTTTTTTTTTTGAACACACACTTAGCACAACCACTTAAAAGAGGAAGTGCTAGGTGGAGTATTTAAATTAACACACACACCCAAAGCTATCCGATGTGGGATAGTCCAATCCCCCAACACCCCGGTATGATTACCATAACCGCAGGGCCCAAATAGCCCAGAGAGTGGGATTGCAGCCCAACACCGAACGCTCTGTTTGATACCCCAAAGGGCTTTTTCATTCAAAAATGATAAACTTTCAATACAAAAAGTATACGTTGAGTACCTGCTCCAGTGAGTTCCTCAGCTTGCCCTCTATTTCTTCGATCATTCTTCCCATGTTACATAGATGACCCTCAGCAACTGAGAAGTCCATGTCCATCTATACAAAAGAACTTAATTTCCTATTAAAAATAAACAATAAAATTCATAAATTAAGCCTTGCATTATTTTTTCAACATGTAAATGCAACCATTTGGCTTAATTAGCTGAGTGAAACCGCAAGCTAGCACAAAGAAAAAAGGAACAAAAGAGAAACCTGTTGGGGTAGGTTGGGGTGCAGGGGCAGGCAGGCAGAGAGAGAAAAGAACCCAGTGGAATTTGGTTGAAAGAGTTGATACATCTAGCAAATATCCTATCAACAACAGACACTTGCACTTATGTTTAATTTCATTACAAAATCATGGAAGTATAGGATTTTTAGAGANGAAGGATGACACACTGTCCAGAAGTATTCCGTCGAATAAAGCAGGTATGATCAGAATGACACCTGGTGAACCCCAATCGTATGACTACATCACTGAAGCGGGAGAACCAGGCTCCTGGCGACTGTTTCAATCCATAAAGAGACTTACGCAGTCGACATACCTTTCCAGCATACTCCCCCTCACCACGAAAGCCCGATGGTGCATCCATATAAATAATCTCGTCCAGATCACCGTGAAGAAACGCATTCTTCACATCTAATTGATGAAGAGGCCAAGAGTACTCCGCAGCCAGAGAAATAATCAATCGAACAGTAGTCAATTTTGCCACGGGGGCAAATGTAGCACCAAAATCACGACCTGGTACCTGAGTAAAGCCCTTCGCCACAAGTCTAGCCTTGTAACGATCAATAGTACCATCCGCAAGAAACTTCAGGGTGTAAACCCAGCGACAGCCAACAGGCTTCACCCCTGAAGGTAAGGAGACAAGATCCCATGTATGATTACGCTGAAGAGCGTCCATCTCTGTCTGCATGGCAAGAACCCACTGGGGCTCCCGCATAGCTTCCGAAATAGAGCGAGGAACCAGCGTATCTGATAAGGCCATAGTATAAGCTCGAAATGTGGGAGACAGATTACCATAAGAAACATAAGCAGAGATCGGATATAAAATCTTGGCGGTCCAACCATATCGATCAACTGGACGGCGATCACGCCTTGGATAACGACGCCCTAAATCACCATCCTCTACTGATAATATCTTATCAGGTAAAGTAACTGGCTCAGCACCTGTAATCTCATCAGTACTAACAACAGGTGCATCAATATGCTCAACAAACTGAGAAGTATTACCTGCATCGCCTGAGGTAGAGGGGATATCAGCAGGGTGATGAGAGCGAGGACAACGAGCATACACCTGCAAAGGAAGAGAGACTGGTAACTCTGTACTGACAGGGATGAGTGACTCCTTTGGAGGAAAAACGGATGACCCTGTAGGGATAGTGATCAATGACTCTGACTCTTGTGGTAATGGAAAATCAAAGGGAGTATCATCAACTGGAGGGGCAGACAAAGGACTGAAAGGAAAATAAGGAATATGCTCAAGAAAGGTAACATCTAGACTGTGATACATACGACGCCTAATAGGATCATAACATCGATACCCCTTAGATTGATGACAATAGCCCACAAAGATACAACGAATCGCTTTATCATCAAGTTTATGACGAGTAGGAGACCGATCCTGAACAAAACATGTGCATCCAAAAACACGAGGGGGGACCGGAAAAAGTGTCCGCTCAGGAAATAAGACCTGTAAGGGAGCCTTATGCTGAAGAACACGACTCGGCGTACGATTGCACAGAAAGGTAGAAGTCAAAACAGCAAAATGCCAATAAGATTTTGGTACCCTCATGCCTCTAAGCAGACAACGTACCATCCCTATCAAACTCCTATTTTTCCTCTCAGCAACACCATTTTGCTCAGGAGTATATGGACAAGTGAGTTGCTGAAGGATACCCTGAGAAGAAAGGTGAGACACTAAAGCATCAGACACATATTCTTTGGCATTATCCGAACGAAGAGCACGAACAATGACATCGAATTGTGTCTTAATCATCTGTAAAAACTGAGTGATTATAGGGAGCACATCAGACTTCCTATGCAAAAGGTAGACCCAAGTACAACGGGTATGATCATCTATAAATGTCACATAATATCTGGCACCTGACAGAGCAGTAACGGGAGAGGGTCCCCAAATATCAGAGTGTATTAGGTCAAATGGCTTGGGTGACTGGTGCATGCGAGGAATATAATTGGCCCTAACATGTTTTGATAGGGAACAGATAACGCAATCAAGTTTACCACCAACACAAGCATTACTCAAAGCAGGAAACAACATACATAAATATTTAAAATTTGTATGTCCAAAACGGTCATGCCACAATTGAACAGTTTGTGACGAAAAATCATAACGACAACTACTAGGTAAAATACTAGCATGCAAGCTAGGAACAGAAAAAGACAAAGCAGGTGCAGGTGAAGGAATTGGTGAAACTGGAGATGGATTGCCAAGATAATACAGTCCATCTTTCTCATGTCCCTTGATAATAATCCTCCTGGTACTCAGGTCCTGCAAATAACACGAATCAGATAAGAATACAACCGCACAGTGAAAATCTCTGGCTAACTGATGTACAGATAATAGATTCATGGCCAACTTTGGCGCATGAAAAACCGAATGTAATGTAAGGCCATCTGGGAGACGGACTGTACCCCTACTAACAATAGGGACATGTGTTCCATCTGCTAACTGAACCTGTGTATGTAACGGCTCGTCAAAAGTGGTGAAGTGATGGGCCTCACCTGTCATGTGACCATTCGCACCCGAGTCCAACATCCAAAGGGGAGATGAACTGGCACAAGCGTGAAAGGCACGAGATATACCTGTAGTGGTGACAGCAGCAGTAGTCAGACTCTGAGAAGTCAGAGCAGACATAAGTATATCTAATCGGGAAGTGATAGCATCCATATCACTTTGCCAAGGAGGAGCAGTAGCAGGAGTGGCGGTAGTGGGCGGTGGTACCTCAGCAATAGCAACAGTACGGCTGCGAGAAGGTGGCTTAAGCTCTGGATGGAGCTTCCAGCAAGTAGCCCTGAGATGTCCTGGTCGGCCACAATAATCACATTGACGGGAATCCCCCCGTCTGCGCTGATCTGGGGCGCCCTGACGGCGCTGGTCTGAGCGTTGCCCATCCCTGACTAAGGATCCTGAACGGGACCCTACAGCAGCTGCAAGGGCCATCTGGTCAATCGAAGGAGTCAAAGCTGCAACTGGAAGTGATGCAATACGGACTCGACGCTCATGCTGCTCAATCATCCCATACACCTCATAAAGAGAAGGAAGTGTCAACATCGACAAGATCTGAGAACGAGGTCCCTCAAACTCATCACGAAGCCCCATAAGGAACTTGTGAATCCTATCCTCCTGCTCTCGAGTATGCAAGAATGCTGCTCCCTCGGGCTCTATCTTCGGAATAGCAGCAAGAGGACGTAGAGACTCATACTCAAGCCAGCGCTGGGTCAAATAGCCATAATAATCCTGAACGGTCATATCTCCCTGCCGAGCATATGAGAGCTCCTGAGAAAGCTCATAAACACGAACTCCCCGTCCTGACTGAGAATACATCTCTGATAATGCGCTCCATAGCTTCGGAACAGAGCTATGAAACTGGTGGATCTTGCAAACAGAGGGCTCCATTGAGCCAAATAACCATCCAAGAATGGCACAGTTTTCAGAGAACCATGCAGAATATCCAGGGTCGGCATCAGCTGGCTTTGGGTGAGATCCCGTCAGCCAACCAAGCTTCCCTACACGGCCTAAGAAAAGCTGGAATGAGCGTGACCACTCAGCGAAGTTACGACCATTCAACAATTGTGCCGTAACTTTTTGAGAGATCATGCCCGGTAATGCTGGTAATGCAACTGTGCTAGTAGGCACTGTATACTGGTCAAACATAAAAGTGGAAGTACCCATAGATGTCTCAACGGTAGAGGTGTCAACAGTAGGGTTCTCAAGTCCCTCAGTAGTAGCCATATCAACAACAATACTAGGGCACCCGTGACAGAAAAATAACTCTAAGATAAATAGAGGAATAAAATAAGGGAGAACAATATACCTTCAGTCGAACAGTAGCGACAAATAGGGAAGGTCCAAAAAGCTCCCAAATAATCAAGTCACGGTGCCCAGAAATCCAAAATATATAAATAAGTGATCTACTGCATCAAGAGCAAATCAACAACCCCTCATAAAAAATCCTAGATATAACAGTGGGTTGGGTTTAGTATATGTTTAATGGGCTGAGGCAATACTGGGTTCTGGTTTGGGTTGTTTGGGCTGCTGGTCGATGCTAGCTATTTACTTTGTATATGTCGGTGATGTTTAGAATGGTCGGTGCTACTATTTAGTGTGTATATGTTCGCTGGTAGATGGAATAAAAGCAATCAGTTGATTTTGGGCAGTCGGCTGGTCTGGTTCGGTTCACTCACGAAACTTCGGTTCTCAAGGAATGGTTTTGGTGAAACCGAGAAGGAGCAGTTCAAAAAATTACTGGAAGGCGATGAGTTCTATAGGATAAAAGTACCGTCCAATGTATTGAGTCCTCCCGGGAGGGACTTTATTATCTCCTCGGTGAAAGCAAGATGTCTTCCGCGGGATGGTTTAGAGTTGAGTGGGTTTGTCGGCAGGTTATTGGCTGGGTCTTATTTATCGGTGGCTGGTATGTGGGTTCTGTCGGTGGGGCTGCTGGGTTGATGCAGGCTGTGGACTTTGGGGGCAGTCTCAGTCGGTGCAGGTTGGGCTGCTTGGTTGTTTTGCAGGTACTGTCGATCGGTTGTGAAGCAGAGGTAGACGATGGAGTGGAGGCTATCGTCTCGCTGGTTGCGTTGTTTGGTGGAGGCTAATGTTAGAATTAGGGTTAGGGTTAATGGCTCTGATACCAACTTGAGATAGTTGTGAATGAAAAGGGATACTCAAATTAAGAGTAGAACCCCGTATATATATCCAAAAATAATACAGAGTGACTTAAACATCCTTGTAGTTTAGGCAAAATATAAAAATCATAGTAAGGGTAAAAAAGGGAAAAGAAATCCTAATAAACCTAGACTATCTATACTCCAACAGTTGGAAAGGGTCTTACTTAAGGATTTGGGGTCAAGAAATCTGAATTTGAGGTTGGATTTGAGAAATTTGTAGGTTTGGCGGGTCAATTTTGGAGTTGGAGAGCTTCGGTTTCATAACAATAATATCAATACTCCGAGAGAGAACACAAGTTATCTTTAACTATTTTCTCCAGTGAAACTAAGCTGCATTCATTGTCCATGCCCAGCAAATCACAACAACCAAGTAAAATGTACAGTGATACATACTTATGAGTATTCAGAAATTCCTAGACTTAATTAGCATATAGCAGATTAACAAATAATCTAAACCAGTATCATATGAAGTACCTGTCTTCTAATTGATCCTGACAAATTAAAGGTTCCTGATGATTCATTGTTTGTAGTCAATGACAGCATCACGGTACTCGTTAAACAGTAATGGGCTGTTCCTTCCTCCTCTGGCCCCACCTTAATAATATTGAGATTTGCAGCAAGATAGAAAAAATTAGTTAATGGAAAAGAAGAAAACGGCAAGGAAGAAGGGGACAGAGAGGGGGAAAGATCTCCATTCTCGTCATAGCTTTTGGCAGACTATTTACCTCAATAACATGTATAGCATCCCATGCTCCCTCCTGCAGATGGCCTCTTCTGCCATGTCCTGACTTCGAGCCATCTATATCCCCAAGATCATTCAAATTAGTTGGGGGGCAAAAACTTCATTGCTCCAATATAAGCAAAGAGAAAACCTTACCTTTCTTTATTAGGAAACAAGCTGCAAAGCCTTCATTCTCGTCATCCCACATATATACTGATGAAATGCCACCTTCATAATACCTAACAATATATTGATTAATCAAGCTGCTACTTCTTCTTCAGCCATCATAAATTACCACACATAAACTAGTACAAGTGAACTAATTGAGAAATGACAGATGATATCTTGACCAAGAAAGTTCATATAACTTCCAAATGTTTCCAATTTATAAAAAAAAAAAAAATCAAACACATAATGGAATATATTCAATAGTAAATCACCCGATGTCAATAAATTGAGAAATGATAAAACAAACTTAAGGACGAGGTAAGTTAAGGACCTCACTGGTCACAATAAATTGCAAAGACATCATTTGCTTCAATCTCAAGTTTCCTCAGCTCTTGAGATGGGTGAGGACCGTCTTCCAATGTTGGATGATATTTATTTGACCAGGGTGATCTACAAGAAAAAATGGAAACATAATATCTGTGATACATCACTGGTAGAGTAAGACGCAAAGAAGAGGAGCAACATAAAGTTAAGTGACACACTTTCCGAAAATAAAGAAATTTAAGTGAATGCATGGCCCTTGAGAAGCCTGACAAAACAAACTTGTATACCTAGTCTATACTAAATTAAACGAGGACATTTTGTTGTTGACAAATGCTCATGGTTCAAAGTCACGGTATCGGTCATCGACTCGCAAGGCACTGAGACACATCAGTCGCGGTGTCGCGGCATGATATCGGCTGATACGCTCAAAACGCTAGATAGAAGACCCAAAAAAATATAAAAAAATCATGAAAATTTTTAAAAATATGTAAATATCATCATTCATGCATTATATCCCAAAAATACATTATTTAACATATTAAACATAATAAAAATGAATTATAAGGACGATACCAAAAATATTTATCATCATTTAGATTGAATGTTTTTATTGAAGGACACACTAAACTTTAAACATATGTTATTAGAATTTTTTTTAACTTACTAGTACCTAATTTTAAAAAAATAAAAAAATAAAAATAAAAACAAGAACAACAAATATGTATCCATCAATTATAAATTTGACAAGTACAAGTAAATCTCAATACTTTAAATGAATAATTTTGTGTTAAATTAATAGTTTAATGAGTCATTGTTCTAATTTAATTTTTTTTTTCAATAATTTAATAATTGAATTAGAGATGTTCCATACATAAAGAGTAAGGGCCAATAAAATATAAACACACGTGTAAAGACTAAAAGCAAAGGAGGGGTGTGACCCATAAAATATAAACACCGTGTGGTGTGGTGGGGGTCTGTGTTTTATCGTTGCCTCTCGATCACGAGAGAGAAAGAGAGTGAGTGAGCGAGAAGCAAATAGTGAAGGAAAGATTTTTTCGATCTTTAAGTGAGCGAGCGAGAAGCGATTGATGATTTTTCAATTTGTAAACTTAGAGTTTCTGCTAGTATTGATTAGCTATGGGTCTCCACCGAAAGAAGAAGAAGAGGCCTTCTGGTCAAAGTGATTCTTCGATTTTCTGCGTCTTCGTATACTTCATCTCACCCATTTTCTACTTCCTTTCTCTGTTTTTTTTTTGGTTTTAGGTGTCTAGATTTTCCAAATTTGATTGCACCATAGCGGTCTGACTCGGTTCGACTCGGTCGAGTCTGACTGAGTTAGCTCCAAGTTGGACCGATACCACCGAGTTGTAACTGAGTCAAGATCGATTCAGTTGAATCTCGTTATATTGGGGTACCGTGTATCGTTATCGGATCGGCAACTGCTGAGACAGATATGACTCGGTCGAGTTGACTTGGACTTGGCCGATATTTTGAACCATGCAAATGCTATAACTAATTTAGCAAAAAGGTTAATAAAGGATTCAGGAATGCCAGTTCCATAGAGTAACCAGGGCACAAGCACTATTAAACTCAATAGGCTTCATGTTAATTAAAAATGAACACTGATACATGCAACCGACCTCTTAATTATGCATTCAAACTGCAAGGAAATACATGGACAGATTAAGTTAAAAACTATCATCCTATACACTCACATTACAAGTTTTAACAAAGTAAAAAGTACAGTTCAGCATTTAAGCATTTACCTATAAGAGTCAGCATCTCTGTTGTATTCACACAATATGAATTCCTTCCCACAGTTCACATCACATAGAACCTGTTTTAATTGATCCAGGAAAAACTACCAGCTTATCCCACAGAAGCAATGATATTAATAGCCAGTATTATGCTTTAAAATGGCAGTATAATGCCAAAGGCTCGTTTCATTGCTATTTGATAAAAGAGATATTAAAAATCCATATAAGATAAAAAGTTCACCAACAATTATCTTGAAGACAAAAACTTCTCAAACACAAGAATATTACCCAATGGTTGCAACAAATCAGACACGGCTTCAGCATTTGAGAATTATAGTTGTCAAAAGCATGCTTACTCCCCTAATAATGAGACCCAAACTTAGCAGCGATCAGCCAAAGGCACTTAGTTCCAACCTCCAAGAGGTTCACTAAGAAGGTGTACACAAAATCCTCAAAGCACATGTCCTCTGGGAAATTATATTAATCTGTATATTTTCCACTGTAGGAAACCTGTATATGTGCCCATACACATGATTGTTTGGGTATTTTGTGTATTTTCTTTGCAAAGGAAATTATTTTCAAACCATCAACCCAAAATTGCAAAATGAGAAAGCAAATGACTACACGCCCACGCAATTCTTTGGTAGATCCTTAAAATTATACATCTAAACAAACGCAGCCTTCATTTTCAATATCAGATCCAGAACTAAAGCGCAAAATTCAAGGGAGAGCTAGATAGACTAAACCCCCATACTCTATTGTTTCTTGCAGAGGAAAATTTGAACGTTCTGCAACCCTAACAAGTCCCAAAAGTGATTGTCATTTCTGCACCAATTTCACCCCTAAAACAACCCAACGCCATATCCTCTCAAACAGAACAAAATTAACGGAACTCAAACTTCAAATAGAGCTCACCTATGGAGGAGAAGCATCATCAAAGGGGACATCGAAAATTAACCACATTTCAAAATTCTTCAACTAAATGCGCGATAACCAGACAACAAAATAAAAAACGAACAAAGATATATATGTTTGTGTCTTTAATTCAAAATTCACAATGAAATGACATATTTGCATGTGTACCTGAAGAGGCTGATCGACTTGAGAGAGGAGATCAGAAGAGTGCTCAGGCAATACACTTAGCAGAGCAGAGAGAGCCGTCTCTGCGTGCTTTGGTGGCATCCTTCTCATCAATCCCATCGCTGCCTCCATTTTCTTTTACGAAGACCTTCTCAGGCTACAGATATTGAAAGTGAGAGACTGGAAAAAGGGGGAGAGACATAGAGAGAGATGGGGAATTCTAGAGAAAGAAAGAGGCGCGTTGTTTGATTCTACTTTCCCTCGCGGGAACCGTATAAATACAAGGTCTTTTTGCACTCTCAACCCTGAGAAATTTTAAATTTCGCTTTTTGTACCTTTAAAAATTAAATTTTTCGTATTGATTTGCCATAAAAAATTCAATCCATTAACACTGGGAGTATCAAACGTATCGAATTAAACGGATGACGGATGAAAAATATGTAAACTCATACACGACTCACTTAGTTTTAATTTATTATTAGTTTATTATTATATTTTTATGGCTGTCACTAAATTTAAAAATAAAATAAAATAAAATTTTGTGTCTATCACTAAAAATAATATACATATGTTTTTTGTGGCTGTCATTAAAAAAAATTGCCTAAAATTTTAAAATAATTATTAATTTATTATTATATTAATTTTATTTAAATAGATAAACGAGTGATAAATGGGTTGACATGACTCACCCGAAAACAACCCGTTTATTAAACATGTCTAACGGGTCAACCCGTTTACTATTCGAATCCGTTAAGGTCTCACATATATTCACTTAATTCGTGTCGATTAATCGAATCGTGTCGTGTCGGACTTTGACAGATCTAATTGACACTAACAAAAAACTAACAGAAGGATCGAATTGTCACTCTTTTGATACATTAAAGGTGTAATTTAAAAAAAAGTACAAAATAAAAAATTTAAAATCATTTGGAATACAAAATATAAAATTCTCCCTAAATACAAAAATAATGCTAATTAGAATTGACCTAATTTAGGAATAAATATTTAATTTAATCGATGACACCACTTTATCAATGTTATACAGTGTCTGTTAGTTACCAGTTCTATAAAATACGAGATAGATTTAGTGGGTCTCACTATCTTAATAACTATCTTATCTAATAAAAATCACATTGGAAGAGTGATTCTCCAATCATATTTAATGTTTTTATTATTGAATAGTGATCAACAATGATATGGTATCACTGTTACATATAAAATTTTGTCACTAATTTATAGACCTAGTTAATTGTAGTGGTTAGATTCAATATTAAATGAAGTATATTGTCAATCAAATAAATATATAATAAACTAAGGCTGAGTAGCATTATTGAAAGTGTTGGTTAGTAATTTAGGTCAAATGGCTCCAACAATAGAACTGATTTCAACCTGGTAGGATGGTTTGGGTGGTGATTATGTTGTCCTCATGTTATCATGAACTTTTGGCTACTATTAGACCCACATGTCCACAAGCAGTCCAAAATAGGGTGATGAAATGTTTGAACTTTTGTGCCTCTAATTTAGCTGTTTGCTTCTGCCTAGATACAGATGGGTTGGATACTGTACAAAGCTTCATAGAAAGCATTCTTAGGATGTCACTGCTTTTAAGAGTGAAAACAGATTTATTATTCTTTATTTTTGATATCTCTAATGTTGAAAATGAAAACAGCAATTTTATATTAGTTGTGTGTTCCAACTTAACTAAAGACACAATTCAATACAACCATTACATTAGATGTGTATTTTAATATTAGACAGAACCCACGTTCAATCTAATACCTATAATTGATTAGGTCCAATTGCACGCAGCATATACATTCACGTTGTACTTGCTCAACGTGCATGAAACAAGATTGTATTATCTGCAACACGATGATTCTTAATAGTTACCGTCTCTTTCATGTTGACGTACTAGTTTAATCAAATTGAACTTTCTAATTTTCATCAATAAGGCTGCGCTGACCAAATTTTAGAATCAAATTTGGAGGACAAATGATATGATAACATATTATTTAGAGTATTTATTGGGGCCCAAATGACATAACACTAAATAAAAAAGTCCAAGTCAACCCCCATATCATTTAAGTTCTAAATTTAATCTTAAAATTTGATCAATATAGCATTATTGAATTTTCATACTTTCGGTGGTGGGTTATAAAAAAGTTATGCATACGAAGGTAATCCCTTGGGTAGGACCTTTTTTTTAAATCCAAACCCATTGGGCCAACAATACTCTTGCAAGCAAAAGGTTGAATAGCAGGGCCATTAGGGCAGGTTTTCAACTGTTTTCTGGCCCAAAAATGGCTACAGGATACGCTGGTGTTAGTTACAAGGGACAGGTCGAAGTGGGTATTCGAAGATCCCATCTTCTTGTGTATGGGAAAAGATCAAGTGCTCCAAATATTTTGAAGCCCATCAGTTGATGGGGGTTCAAATCTTGTTTCTTTCACCATGACTTTATGTTTAGGATTTTTAAATGATGTGAGCTATTCGAGCTTATTTTGGGTCAACTTAGTTTAGACATGTTTAATTATGCTTTATAAACGACTTCAATCTAAGTAAGTATTTCTTGACTAGATTATATTCGACTCAACTCAAAAAAGTTATTTTTTCACCTATGATTTTGTCTTTATTATCAAGCAGTCCTTGTCTAAACATCTCCTCAGTAGCATTTTAGGAAACTTGAACTTGTAGAGTGTGATTTTAATATTTAATATAAATATTTTGAGGGATTTTTAATGAGAAATTGATTATTTCAGTATTGAACATTGAATTTCATCGCTTAATTGTTGAAGATTTTTTGCTTAAAAATTGAGCTAAATTTTAACTCGAATTCTTTCAATATGTTACAACCAAGCGGAATGTGAGCATACTTAAGTTTGACTTGATTAACACTTTTATCTGTATTTATTACTAGGCCAAAAAAAATTCGGAAAAAAACTGCTTTTTGGGGGATACATGCCTTGCCACGTTGAAATGTTACAACCAAGATAAGAAGTAAGAACAACCTCAAAAAATTTATGAGGATAGCACATTTGGGACCCCCTCCTCTCTCTAGTTTTTGCCATGAAGAGACAATGCAACATGGCTAAAATATTCAAACAAAGAGAAGTATGTGAGGGGAAGAAGCTGACAAAGCTGCTGATCATGATCTTGGTTAGATTCACTTTTTGACCAACACCTAGCTTCATAATAAAACCCAGATGGGAATGGACAATTTGAGTTTGGGAAGACAGTTTAATTCCATTGTGCTTGAAGACATGTGAGGAATGGGAAGGAGGCATGTCTTGTTCCCTCTTTGTCTCTCTTCACCTTGCAACATTGGGCCTACATTAAATTCACCTTTTTTTTGGACACAGTATCATATTACAGGGGAAGGGATGCTGGGGAGAGGCAGTGGGGGAGGGAGGTAGGTACCAGGGGGCCTGTCCCTACCCTTATTTATT